AAGTTTGTGCGCTCAAGTTTGGGTTATTTTTTTTTTAACTTTTTAAAAAGCCTCTTCTTCAGGAACATCTGATAAATTCTCCCCAAGTAGGAAGTCCTTAACTGATAAGGGTAAACAGTTAGCTATTTCCAGAGGCATCTGTGTTTCTAACAGCACAGAAATGCCAGAAGACAAAGAAGCGAATCCAGCAGCGGGAGGGAGGCAAGAAGCGGGAGGAAGGCCAGCTCCGAGCCGGCTCATCTCCCGTAGCTGCAGTCTCCGTCTTTATTGGGACAGATAGGACATGATAAATGCCAAGCCAACACAGCTGCACGGCATAAAGCCCATTTCCGATGCTATTTCATTAAAGATCTTTTCCATTGCCGTGTGTTGTGTTAACAACCATTCAATAACAGCTACTGCTGGACCAGAGGCTACATATCCATCCTCCCCTAGCTACTCCACACACGTGAAATTTCACTGGATGTTTATCTCAATCCCAGGAGGTCTTGTTATCCTTTCAGAGGAGTCAAAAGTTAGCTTTTGGAAGGTCAGGCCGCCCAGTGTTCTAGCTTGCTTTTCTGCTGTGGTGATAAAAACACTCTGACCTAAGACCATGTCGAGGAGGAATTCATTTCATCTTACACTTCCAGACCACAGTCTAGCATGGTGGGCAGGCAGGGTAAGAACTGAAGAAGAAACCATAGAGGAATGGTGGTTTCTAACTCACGCTCTGCTAGCTTTCTAATACAGCCCAGGCCCATCTGCCTAGGGATGGTGCTACCCCCAGTGGCCTGGGCCCTCCAACATCAATCATCTCTCAAGACAGTTCCTCAAGGACATGGCCACATGCCAATCTGACACAGGCAATTCTGTAACTAAAGGTACATCAAGTTGACAATAAAACCTAACCAGGCCATTCTGTTATTTGTGGCAGGGTTAGGCTCAAGGTGATCTCTCACTTAGTAGCCACTATCTGACCATGACGGAAAGCCTGTCTGGAGGGTCGCCATTGGATGATTTACCTTCCATCCAGGCTCTATGGGTCACTTTATCAAGTGTGCTAAATCTGAAGTCTTGACAACACAAGTTTTAAAATAACAACTGGGGTTTTGAAGTCATACCTTACAAAATGAAGCCAGTCTATAGGGGCTGGAAGGAGGCTCGGTGGGTAATGTGGATGCTGTGCAAGCATGAGGACCTTAGTTCAGATCCCCAGAATCCACATAAAAGCCGGGCATGGCAGCACTGAGGGAGGAGGACAGGCGAGGGTACTAAGGGCTAGCTGGCCAACCAGTCTAGTCAAAATAGCAGGTTACAGATTCAGTGAGACCCTGCTTCGGAAAGATATCCAAAGTCAATCTCTGACCTGCACATGTGCACACAAGTTAGTGCACCCCCCTTTCACACACAAACCAAATGAGATTCATTCAGCTAAAGAACTATATAGATTAGCATTACTTGAATTCTGTAAGTGGCGTACCCTAGGGTTGGTTTAGCACAAAGAATGGTAAGAAAGGTAGGCAGGAATGGAACCCACAGGACTGAAGGTCAGACCCTGTGAGCAGATAAGACAGCCATGCTAGAGGAGAAAAGGTTTACTGGGGAGCACCTGTCAAAGAAAGAGAGAGAGAGAGAGAGAGAGAGAGAGAGAGAGAGAGAGAGAGAGAGAGAAAGCAGAGAAAGCAAGGGGAGAGGAAGCAGGCCAAAGCAGAGGAGTCATTAGACTGACATGGTGTGCTTGTCAGCCAGGTGGAAGTCCCCAGGCAAAGTCTGCTGCCTGTTAGAGGAGGCACAGCAGTGGGTAGCCTTGTGGCATTGCCATGTTCAGACACTGGCCAGTGACTGTGACTTTGATTTTGATTTGATAGGTTAAAGCCGACCTTGTAACAGCAAAGAGGCTGTCAGATGGGGCCATTCCTTGCACTGGCGGGGAGAGGTTCCCCTTGCACAAGGTGAGCTGAGCGGGACCCCTGCATCTGAACCTCAAGGAAAGATTCTGGAATGTATTAGAGATGGAACTATTGGGGAGTTTCAATCAGACATGATGGGATTCACAGCTGCATAAATATTTAATCCTTCTTCAATCTTTCATACAATAAATAGCTGAGTGTCGTGTGGCAGCTGCTGCTTAGCTGCTTAGAATATGAGTGAAGAGAAGGCTGTTCTGGTGGGGCTGATGGCCTAGCCAGGGGCGTAGGGGAAACCCGCTTTAACAAACCTGTAAATTACATGCTGTGTTAGATCTCTGCTGCTCAGCATGAGGCATGGCCGACCGCATGAGGCTAGGACGACTAGGACAGCTGCCACAGAGGTTTGTGTCACACGCAGCACAAGCCCCTACTGAATTATAACCTGCCACACACGGGACACCAATACAGAGTCCACACACCTGAAGACAAGGGAGAGAAGACAGCTATCACTCTTAAAAGGTCATGTAAATAATCTTCATCAGGTTCGTCTTCTTATTTAGCTTCTCTAGGATCATGAATAATAGGCTCAAAGACCTTTAATTATGGTTAGAATCCACTTATGAGTGAATACATACCGTGTTCCTCTTTTTGGGTCTGGCTTACCTCACTCAGTAAAGCGTTTTCTATGTCCATCCATTTGCATGCAAAATTCAAGATGTCATTATTTTTTACCGCTGAGTAAAACTCTAATGTGTATATGTTCCACACCTTTTTTAACCATTCTTCTATTGAGGGGCACCTAGGCTGTTTCCAGGTTCTGGCTATTACAAATAGTGCTGCTATGAACATAGTTGAACAAACGCTTTTGTAGTATGTTTGGGCATCTCTAGGTCCAACCAGATTCTCTGAATGTGGCCGGATTTTCTGAATGTGGCTGGCCTGCAGTCTTTTCGAGAAGCCATTGACAATGACACTGGGACTGGTTTCCTCTGCATATACTGGATTTTTGGGATCCAGTCTGTTTGGATGCTCACCTTCCTGGACCTGGAGTGAGGGGGGGAGGAACTTGGACTTCCCACAGGGCAGGAGACCCTGACTTCCCTAGGGGACAATGAGGGAGGAGGAGAGGGAGGGGGGGAGTGGGAGGGCGTTGGGAGGAGGGGCGTAAATGGAAACTTTTTATAATTTAATAAAATTACAAAAAAAAATAAAATAAAAAAATAAAATGCTTTTAAAAAAAAAAAAAGGTCATGTGAGCAGACCTCTCGGAGACGTGGATTTAATCCAAACAGGAGGAAAGGGAGTTAACCGGGAGCCTGGGTTGACATTCGCAGGCAGAGAGAGGAGCCGGGGGCAAAGCTCAGAGGTAAGGTGTTCTGGGAGTTTGACTAGCAGCAGCAAGCTGACCGCGTCTGACTGGACAGTGAGTGGTAAGGACAAAGGGGAAGAGAGTCAGGAAGATGGAGGGGCTGGGGAGACGGCAGGTGTGGTAAGGCCACCGTGGACAGTGCACACTGCAGCTTAACTCTCTGAATGATACAGGGAACAGCTACAAAAGCCTGAGCCGAGTGGCACAGGATGCTGCTCACGGCCCCGGCTGTGGTGCTGTGAAGACAGTGAAGACTGTAGAACAGAGTCAGGGAAGAGGCCCCTTAGGGGAGCAGGAAGGAGGGAGGTGAGACACAGGCTTGACCCTGGGGGAATTTTTTAAAGTAGGTACAATATGACTATTACATATTTATTCGACTGACTGGCAAGAGTCCTATCACTTGTTGCCCAGGGCAATCTTGAACTCACAATCCTCCTGTCTCAGTCTCTGATTGCCTGGATTGTAGGAATGTTCAATAATGCCCAGCTTCACACAACTTTGTAAATATAGAATGTGAGAGTCAAGGTTAGCTCCCAGACTTTTGGCCTACACAGTGGGAAGGAGTGGGAATAACTGAGGTGGGAAGGCTGAGGGTGAGCACATTTTCAGGAAAGATCTAAGAATTGCCTTAAAAGAACTACTACGTATCCAAAAGACATAGACTAGAGGTGGGTTCAGAAAGGCCTGTTACAGGCCTAAATGTAGGAGCCATGACCAAGTGTCTTCCACATGGAGTCGTATAGAAACAGGCTGTCGGTGCTGCACAAGCCACGCTGGTAAGCCTGCTACCTCCACCAAACCACATCTCTGCAGAAGTCACTGTGACATGAGCTTGCTCTCAACATCTCCCCTACGTTATAATATGTAACTTCAGCTGCAAAAAAAAGTCAATACACCTTAGTATTTTATTTTTAGTTTTCAAATGTAACTGTAAAACCAAAGGAAACTCATTAAAAATCAAAATAAGACAACCCTGAAAATCTAAAAAAAAAAAAAAGTTATAAAATCAAATCAGTTTTTGGATTTCCCACTTGAGATTGGGAAGAAAAAAAAAAGCCCCAACAACCCACCTCAGAACATTTTCATGTAAACCTAGCGCAATTCAATACAATAGAGCGCCGTGCAGAACGTCAGTACTTACTTAATGCTGCTTCGGGCCCTGAAACATTTATTAACACTATTTGCACTTACTATCCACTTGGCCCTCAGTCTTTACGGTGGTCTGCATTCTACATCTGGTGTGGCCAAGACTTGGAGACATTACATCGTGAGTTCATGGGAAGTAACAGAGACTCAGACTCCCAATTAATGGCAAGTGCCTAATTTTAAAAAGCACAGATCAACAATAAAATCTGAAGTTCATAGATCTCTTACTTTCAAATAAATAAGTTCTTAAAAATGTATTAGCTTTTATTTTGTATGTGAACATGCACATGGCGTGTATGCGGTCAAGACAACCTGCAGGAGTCAGTTCTTTCTTTCCATCATGGGGGTCACTACAGTTGGAAGGCTGGGTGGCGAGTTCCATCTTGTTGGCCCTTGATTAAATACTCTTAAGTGCCAACCTTCTACAGTCAATAGCTATGACATGATTCCCACCCCAAGCCAGACTTTTCTTGCTGACTTCTGGGCAAGCTGATACTGATGACGGAATTAAGAAAGAGGGCAAGAATTGAGTATAGGTTATTTATATTTTCAGATTTATCTTAGTAATGCTTCAGTGAAATAAGGTACTGTTAGTGATTTATTAAAAGTTTATTTCATGTAATAAATTATATAATTTATTTTTAAAGAGTCTATAGCAAAAATATTTTTGGAAGTGTTTCTCCCTTTTGGTACAGGTCTGTATCAAAGTCTCATAGCTCCCATCCCACAGTTACACAGTTAAGTCAGCCTTCCTTTACCTTTCTCCAAAAGTTCTTGCTGGCACCACTTGATTAAAAAACAAACAAAAAAAAAGATGGTATAAACACAATTTGGCTTTGTCCAAGGCCTTAGCTTGAATTGCAGACTACTAGCAGGTAGATTACAAAGGCATATTCAATAACTATAAAATCATCATCTTGTGTGACATAGACCATGAGGCCAAAATGAAAGTAAAATGTAAGGCAATTTACTAAAGGAGGCAGCAAGCCAGACCTGTGGACTAAGGCTGTCCAAAGAGTAGAATTAACTGACAGACAAAGCACCCTGCACCTTTCTGGATGACTCCCAGTGTAGACACACACACGCAAGTGCACACACATGCATACACACACACACATACATGCACATACAAGCATACACAGATGCACAAACACATGAACACTTCTGCTATTAGTAGAACCAATTGGTTCTTAGCAAATTATTCAGAGATTATGAAATTTCTGAAATTAACCAACTTCTGTGCATATAAAATTGGGAATTTCAACTCCATACAAGGTCAGTCTCATCAATGTAAAACACAAAACCATTTCTGGTTTGGCAGAAATTAGTGCATCTTAGATTTCTAGGCAAAGCAAATCCAATTTTTGTAAGTACCAAATGTGTATATATGTAAAACTTTTCTCTGAGAACAGTATGAATGGGATTCATCAATGTTTTTCATGGCTGTTTTCAATTGTTGGTCACCTACTTCAGTAAAAAGATATAAAACTGAATTTGTCAAGATGAAGTCACTAATTCAATATTATCACCAGTTTAAAAAGTGAGTACATTTTCCTAAGTTCCACTAAAATCTATGGAATCTATTGGCACAGACATATTCTATAGCTAGGGCCTCAATGACAGTTCTTACTGTCCTGTGTTTAAAGAAATGGAATCATTATTCAATTCAATGTGCTGGGACAAGGTAGTAGAAAAATTAATTTAAATCATATTTAAATTTACCATTGTACATCAAGGGCCCATTGGTGGAACAGAACTGGATTACATAGCTCATCTGTGTAACTCAGTTCAACTACTAGCATAAGCCAATAGGAAGCTCACCGTTAACACTGGATTACAAGACTGCTGTCATGTCTTCCCGACAGTGAGACCCCAACAGCAGAGACTTCTCCCTGCAGTGTGTGTAAGCCGCATTAGTGATCAAGCATTCCAGGATTCAGTTTTCTTCTCTAAGCAGACTACTCCAGCCCACTGACTTTAAAAACCAACCTCCAAAATCTACCTCACAGCCTTATTCATAAGAGGAGTTGGGCCAGGAAGATAGAAGTAGTGTCTCAGGCAATGCCTGGAATGTTCTCCACTGCCACAGTCTGAGGGCAGAAAAGCATCCAAGCAGTAAGTACTTCACAACAGACACTTGGGTATAGTTCTTTGAACACATATATGTGAACATGAGGGAGCTAGGTAAAGACTGGGGAAAAAGAAAAGCCTATGACAAAGAACTATTTTATTCTTAAAATAAATAAATAAAAACTGAGTTCTGCAACCTTAGGGTCAAACTTGGAGCCAGGAGGAACAGAGCTGGAAATGAAGACCAATTAAAAGGGAAAGGGCTAACAACCAAAACTGCAACCGATTTAATGTGCCAGGAATAAATGTTATACCATAGCTATCTTTCACATGTGGGCTCATGTAATTTATCTTCAATTAGAATTATTATCCATTCAGCAGCTGAAGCCCAGGAACTGCTGATACTCGGCAGATGAGGAAGCGTCTTCAGTCTCTGGACTCTGGCCTTTCTTAAGCAAAATGATGATCACACAATATAGATCACTTGTTCTAGAAAATCATTTTGGCCTGATGCATAGGAAGCTGCACTGCCAGCATTTCCATCGGCAGCAGCATCTGACCCTCCCGGGCTCCATGGAGACTGGGCTTCTGTAGCTTCATCAGGTCTACAAGGCAGTCCCGAATCCAGCAAGAAAGCAGCACATACCTTTTCAATCCAGGATTTACTCCCATTTAACAAGTTACTGTAGCTACTTAAGAGCCATTTCAGTGTCTGGTCCACTAAGTGCAGAATATATCCAGGAACCACCTAGATATCTTCAAGGGAGTTCTTTATCTCCAGCCAGCAAACCTTAACTTCCATGGGTATCAGTGGCTCACATAGCCCAACTTACACACTCAGCATCCGGCTGAACTCATCCTTACAAACCCTCTATGAAAGATCCCTTTTTATACACAGCTCAGTGCCTACTAATACAAGCAACAGAATCCAGAGGCCAAAGCATTTGGCCCCTTGTGTTGGAAGAGTATGTTTGAGGAGACATTATGAGTGTTTCACTTTGGAGAACTGGCTCCTCTTTGGAAAAGCAGGTCAATCTTTACTAAAGAAATCCTCTTATAGCATTTAATATACTATTAGCAAATTTACAAAGCCATTTTCCCAAATTATTTCTCCATGGACCCTTTTCCCCATGAGTACGTCTTGGGTAGAATGGCACTCCACAGAGCAGGCCTGAGAAACATAGCTTTGGCATGGCGTTTAATTCCTTGGTCTGTTTTGTTTTTGTTTTAAATTAACAAAAATCATTGTTAGAGCTATTGAGCCATAAACACACACACACACACACACACACACACACACACAGAGAGAGAGAGAGAGAGAGAGAGAGAGAGAGAGAGAGAGAACTACAACCTAAATATTCTTTCTGCCTATATAAAACATATGTTTGCAGTACTGTATAATTTTGACCTCCTTAGCAAGAACATGTTCAAAGCCAGTCCTGATGGTGACTGTACACAATACTAGTCAGTTCACAAAGGCCGCTTAAAGCCACGACAGTATGGGGAATAGTTTTCAGGTGCCCAAACAGAAAAATGAGCAGATTTATAAAAAAAAAAAAAAAACCATTTATAGCAACTTGTTTAGAACAAATGATTCTGGCTGTTAAGAGTTTCTATGCAGTAAACTTGGTAACATTCACAGAGTTGTCCTTTTTGATATGCAGTCACATGTCACTGATACGGTCTAAAAATGTATAATTTAGCTGGTTTTATATGTATGTGAACAGTACGACTCATAACTAACAAACCAAGAGAGCCGTCTCATCACGAGGTGCTGTATCTCGTGGGACCACTGACGTCCATGCAGCCCACCACGAACAGCAATGCCGTCAGGCAGCACAGGAGCAAACTGCCGCACAAAGCGACTTTACTGAGGAGCTCGCTTCCGTGACTCACATCACTGATGACATTTGGAGAATTCTTTTGTGGAAACCATGTACTGGACAGTAGGTAAGACACTGAGCAGAACCACCGGCTTCTACCATTTAATGTCACTAACACCCACTTTGGGTCTTCACGTGTTGCTTATATAATCAAGACAGTCTAGTTGAGAACAACTGCCCTTAGGTTCACATTAAACTATGTCTTGGCTCTGCTCCCTTGAGGACTCCCACTTACAGGCACAGACAACTAAACAAGCACCTAGTATTTAGCAGCACTAGGAACATCTTTCTCAATTCTGTGTGATCAGAAAAAAAAAAAAACCTTTGAATGCTGGAGAATAACTAAGAAGAAACACTGTATTTCAATGAGAATTACATGTAACTTTACAGTTTATATTAGTAAGAATCATCTGAATTGTTTTGTTTAACTAATATAACAATCAGAAAATGTCCATTGTGACTACATGTTATAACCTGTTAAGAATCATAAGGACTGAGGTATTCTAAGGATAAAAAAACATCAATCACCAACAGCTACCCTCAGACCAATCTCTTCCTTGACAGAACATTCTCTATAAAATTCTTAATTCAAAACTTTAAATATATCCTTTAAAGTGCTGTATGAACTGTAACAAAACGAAGCCTATGTCATGAAGGTCGCTGGTCCTTGTCACCAAGCACACTATCGAGTTTCAAAGCCATTTCCTCAACGTCCACACCTCCAGCTCTGTCACAGCCGTCAGCGACAGGCACAGCACTGGCTTTACTGTGTTCTCTTCTTAAGGCGTTTAAGCACTTCTCAAGTCTCTTGATGAACAAGTCCACATCCTGCATCTTCATCCCGATGGCTGCCGCCGCATTGAGGTAAGCACAAGGGTAATTGTCTGTATGGGACATGAAGCCTTGAAAAGTGTGGCCACTCACAGTTTGCACAGACCCAAGAGGCACAGCCCTGAAAGGGAAAAGATTCATCAGCCTGATGATGCTAACAGACGCCACCCAGAAACAAGGCACCTGTCTCACTAGGTCATATACCCACAGACTAAGACGCTAAGAAACGGCATAAATCATGACCTATACAGACAAACTGCTTAAAATGAAATTGTAAAATACAACTGAAGAGTCTTGCCTAGCGACGACCATTTACTCACCTTCTATAATAGAAGACAGGAACCTTAAGGTATCCCACCATTTTCACATCTTCTTCAAGAAGCAGAAAGAAATTTAGTTTTGTGTCAAATCTAGACTCTGACTTCAACTATGTAAGCCAAACTGCTTTGGTTTACTGTTACTATCAACAAAAGAGAATTCTAATCAAGCAATCAGCACTGTTGCTCACAGTGAGCTCTAGGACCTGTGTAACTGTTTCAGTGGGTGGAGGTCACCAGACAGCAAAAGTCACCTTTAAGGTTGACTTCCATAGCATTCTTAGACACAAGCAGATTTCTAATCTTTTACTTTATAAGAAACCAACTATAGGCCAGGAAGTGGTGGCACTTACTTTTAAGCCAGCACTCAGAAGGCACAGGCAAGGGGATCTCTGTAATTTGGAGGCCAACCTACTCTACAAAGTGAGTTCAGGACAGTCAATGCCATTTTGCAGAAACCTTGTCTCAAAAATCCAAAAAATAAAAAAAAACAACAAAAGAAAGCAAGCAAGCAATTAAGATCAACCCACTCATAGAGGCAAACAATGGCCTCTTACAAAACCATTTTAAAAGCATCAAAACTATGCAGCATATAGACAGTTTCTCAATAAAAAGCTGAACTGACCAGCCAGGCCTGGTGGGTGACACATGCTTTTAATCCCAGTACTCAAAAGGCAGAGGCAAGCTGCTCTCTGTGAGTTTGAGGTCAACCTGGTCTACAAAGTAACTTAAGCAAGTTCCAGGACAGCTGGGTCTAGGCCTGTTACACAGAGAAAATCTGTCTTAAAAAAACAAAAACAAACAAAGAAAAACTAAATAAACAAAAAGCTGAACTGACCTACAATATTTTTTTTCTTTGAACAAGCTGTCACTTATCCAGCTATGGTTAACACTGGAAGGGACAGGAGGATCCAGAAGCCCATCAGAGTACATAGTTAGACACTACTAGCTCAAAGCAAAGCAAAACCACAGAGCCAGAGGGATGGCTCAGTGGTTAAGAGCTCACATTCTTCTTGCAGAAGACACAGAGGATTCAAATTCCATTAGTACCACCCACGTCAGAGAGGTCATAGCTTGCCTCTGATTCCAGCCCCACGAAGATCCAATCAAAGTACAAATAAAAACCAAGTCCTTTAACACAGGCGTTTTATTCTCTGCAAGTGTGGAGACCTGAATAAGAATGGTCCCCACAGGCTCATATATTTGAATGCTTGTCATCAGAGGGACAATACTTAGAAGGATTTACTTAGAAGGATCAGGAGGTGTTACCTTGTTGGAGTAGGCATGGTTTGTAAGAGGAAGTATGTCACTAGGGATGGAGTTTCGAGGTTTCAGAAGCCCAAGCCAGACTCAGTGGCGCTTGCGTGCTCTCACGCTCTCGCGCTCCTCTCTCCCCATTTCTGTTACCTACAGATCAGATGTAGAATTTTTGGCCACTTCTGCCTGCCTGTCACCATGCTCTCTGCCATGATGAAAATAGACTAAACCTCTGAAACTGTAAGCAAGTCCAAATTAAATGCTTTCCTTTCTAAGAATTGTCATAGTCAAAGTGCCTCTTCACAGCAACAGAAACTGACAAAGACAGCTAGTCAGAGTAAAATGCTTTCATAGAGACATGATGGAAAGCACTTAGAGCAAGATCCATCACTTTTCTCTAATGTAAAATGTTTAGTATTCTGGTTAGTTGTCAACCTAACACAACCTAAAGTCAACTAGAAAAGGGAACCTCAGATCAGATTGGCCTCTGGGCTTCTCAATGCTAATGTGACTTAATTATGTTAAGTTAACAGACTGGAGTTAATGTAGGTGGGCCCAGCTCACCGAGGGCAATATTATCCCTAGGCAGGTGGTTCTGGACTATTTAAGAAAGCTAGCTGAATGAAGAAGTTAATGAACAAATCAGAAAGCATCTTTCCTCAATGGTTTCTACTTCAGCTCCCATTTGAGATGCTACCCCGACTTCCCTGAATGATGGACTAGGACCTGGAATATAAGCTAAAGAAACACCTTCCTTCCCAATTTGCTTTAGGTTAGAGTGTTTTAATCACAGCAACAGAAATATAACTAGAACAATTAGAAAACAGTTATTTCCTTAGCAACTTTCCCACTTGAAACTGACAGCAAAGATGACTTATTTCTAGTCTACTATTATAATGTGACAGTACAGCTAAAAAAGAATTAGACAAAAATCTACATAGAAGGTGGACCTTGCAAGACAGGAGGCTTGTAAGTTCTAGGCCTAACTGGGCCAAATATAAGTTCAAGTTCAACCTGGACAGCTGAGTGAGAACCTGTCTGAAAATAGAGAGATGGGGATGTATCTGTAGTCTGGTGCTTACCCCATGCATGCCCTTGGCCCTAGGTTCAATCCTCAGAGCAGCAGCTGCAGTTGTTAACAACTCCTCATCCAGAGAGGTAATAAAACAAACAAGACTCCTGTCTTCCTGTAGTTTGACCAGAGTCCAGAGGTGGGGTGTTAACAGTCTCACAGGTTCATTACCTCATTGTTCTTTGGCCACAGTGAAGCCTCAGGCATGGCTCAGTATACAGTGAAGGACAAATGAAGAAAGTCCTTGATTAAACTTACTTTTCTTTTTAAAGAAAAGCCAATATACTTTTATTGCAATAGAACCTGAAATCCTTATGTGGTGTAAGGTGGAGTTAAGGATTCAGACAAAAGAGTATTTATCTCACCAAATCACCATGCAGGACAGAAAAGGACAAGAACAGTTGAAGAAGGAAAAGTCAAGAAACTGGAATCAATAGAAAGCCAAGCACCAAAACCCAGGAGGTACTAAGGCCAAAATGACAGCACCGTTGTCTTAGACAACACTCCTATCACCAGGCTTTCCCTTGTTGGCATGCATAGAAACTGTTCCTTCCATCTGAACTTTCAAGTTCTTAAAATGCAGAAAGTGGAGCTTTGAAGTTATTAAGATTACAAAAGCCTTGAAAATCCATTAGTAAAACCGTAGGATGAAACCAAAACAGGTCAAAAATGCTACACAAGTCCCTGCTGTCTGAGTGACAGACACATATGCTTAGCGGTGACAACAAAAGCAAATAAACTCATCTCTTAAATCTACTCACCTGGCTCCAGAAACTTGTCTGGTAAAAAGCATTGAACCAAGCTGAGTGACAGCTCTGTCATGCTGCTCATCTACTGTCCTAAGTGTCATAGCTAGGAGAACACAAAAACAAAGACAACTCAACAAGTTATTGGATTACAAAAACCACCCAGGACAAATAATGACAAACTACTTCATTCATTGTTCCATAGCACAAGAGCACTTTACTACACTTGATAAATTACAGCAAGGATGTTTCCATAGCAGACAAGCACAATTTAAGCAAACATGCTCACAAATCAGGAACAAAGTTTCCGTATCACCATGATCAATGGAGCTGCTAACTGAATCCAACTAAGTTGGAAGGACTTAAGCAATATGTATGCATATTATCTCAGTAGGACTAACTCCTACATACACAAATGTACAACTGTCACTCTGAGACCTCATGGTAAACTGCGTCTTTGGATCCCGCCACTGCCATAGCCATTATTCATTGAAGACTGGCTTGCCAAGCTAGACACTTTACATTGTTGTACTGGCTGGTTTTATGTGCCAACTTGACACAAGCTGGAGTCATCAAAGAGGAAGGAGCCTTACTTGAGGAAATGCCTCCATGAGATTCAGATGTAAAGCATTTTCTCATTTAGGAATCAGAGGAGGAGAATCCAGCCCATGGTGGGTGGTGCCATCCCACAGTAGGTGGTCCTGGGTTCTGTGAGGTGGGCTGAGCAAGCCATGGGAAACAAGCCAGTAAGCAGCTCCACTCCATGGTCTCTGCATCAGTTCTTGTCTCCAGGATCTTACCCTGTTTGAGTTCCTGTCCTGACTTCCTTCAGTGATGAACAGCAATGCAGAAGTGTAAGCCAAATAAACCCTTTTCTCCCCAACTTGCTTTATGGCCATAGTATTTTTTGTTGCAGCAATAGAAACCCTAAAACAATGGTCTCAACCACTCCTAAGCAATCCTGCATGATAGATTATTATCTCTATCTTAGAGATGGGGAAAAGGGATTGGCAACTAAAACATGGCATAACTGATATTCCCAACACGACCTGCTATGTGAACAAAAGATTAGGGGCTTTGTTATTAGGTGTTGGTACCCATATGGTTCTCCATGAATGCGCATTCCAAAATGGCTTCAGTTATAAATGATTCACTTTTCTGAACTGGATGAGAAATATAAAACATATTCACAAACTAATTATGAAGCTTTTAAATACTTACGTATATAAAAGTCAATTATTGACTTTTTAAAAATGCTTTTTATTTATGTGTTTGTTTGTGGGCATGTACATGTATGTTTGGTGCTTCACAAGCCAGAGAGGGTGTTAGATTTCCTAGAGCTGGAGTTAAAGGCAGCTGTGAGCTGACCTTGTCAGAGCTGGGAACTGAACTCAAATCCTCTGGAAGAGCAGCATCTTAACCACCGGAAATCCCTCTAGCTCACTAGTCTCTTCAATAGTCCCTGAACTGCATAACAGATACATTAGTCCTTATATCAGCAGACCAACTGATAACAGCAGAAGCCAAGGAAAATAAGCAAAGGCACCGACAATGCTATGCTGGAGCTCTGTTAACTGAACAAATTTTCATTATAAGAAACATAATATACTATCTGTATATTTGTTATATTTACCATTAACTCTGATTCCTTCACTAAACAGGCTTTACCTTAGAGAAACATTAAATATTAAAGCATTTCTAAATGCCAAGTAAATTTTAGTTATCACTTAATATTGGGATGGATTTAGAAATATCAGTATAATCAAAACAAGTTCACTATTTCTATAAATGACAACTTCCTCCTAAGAATATTTCAGACATACTTTCTTTTATTAAGGAAGAAAATTACCTAAAGATATAGGGTTGTGAGGTGTCTGTAGCAGTCTTTCATTGTAGGCCTCAGCCAACTTCTTCAGTTGGGTGGACAAATATACAAACATTTCCTGAAATAAAAATACCGCAAATAAATACAACTCAACCTTAATACAAAACCTGACTGGTATGAAATGTATATTATCTACCATCTCCCATGTTGCTCCTCTGCCACAATACAGTGAGATTCAGAGCCACTGCAAACGGCAGACAGAGGAAAAGACAGCCCACCCCACTGCTGGTCTTGGGCTATAATATAACACATCTCTGCAGAACTTTCAGAGTTGATATTTCAGAATTATTTTAATGGGAAGACCAGAATATTGCAATGTTTCCCAGGCTAGAGGTAAACATCTGATCCTCCAGTCTCAGCTTTCTAAGTAGCTGGGATTTAAGTATATACTGACACATCTGGCAAGAGCAAGCACTCTATTTCTGCACATCTAAACAACAGCCATCTATTTCTGCACACGCTACCAGCACAACTCTTCATCCCTCTGTACTGTTCTACACAGAGGTCCTTCCACACCATAATTAGTTCCTGTCCTTCTCAGATGACCTCCTCCTGTAACTACTAAGAAAATCTCTTCAATGCTAAGATGGATCCATTTACTATGCAAGTTACACAGTAAGTGGAAGTTTAAAAAGCCTGTGTGTCTGCATGTGTGTGTCCCCAGGTCAAACTAGAGGTCCTGTGTGTGCTAGGTCAGTGCTCTACCTCTCTGCTATATCCCCAGCCCCATCTAGAAATCTACTCTGTTTAAGGTACACATAGCTAAAATGAACAATTCTCTTATCTCAAAGACTACAATAGCTAAAACTAAAACTTACTCTACTTTGCCAATAGCAGAAAGTGTAATAAATGTTCCTAAGTCACACACACAGGCATAGCAGTATAACTGAGTCAGCAGCTATTTAAACTGAAAAGTTATTTTTTTTTCTGCTTCTGCTTTTGAAAAGGTGCAAAATGAAAACCTACCCAAATCCATCTGCAGTTGGATGAGTCTACTTTCACTGACCTCCATCCACAGTTAAACATAAATTCTAAAGAGACTCCAAGGCTAACAGCGGAAATGACACTTCTCAAGTTCAAAGGCCACAAAAGCTGCTTCTGCTTTCTCCCTAAGGCAGCTCTCTCAGCAGCTTTTCGGGTCTAAAGTCCACAGAGGAGCAACTCTATCTGGTAACAGATAAAAACTAAGAGAGGAGGGAGAATGCTGTCCAGTTTTATGAATTACCAGTTCCTTACAGGTACAAAGGCCTTACCTTGCTGACAATATATTCTCACCTAAAATGTTATACTAATCACCATTCTTAAATTTATAAGAACAATTCTTAGCATGTCAGAATCATAAAATATTAGATCACTAAATTAGTTCTTTTTATAATCAAAACGTCAAAAATTACAATTGTTATCTGATAGATGTAGTAAGACATCTTCTTGTCATAAATATATAATAAAATGTATATAAATATATTATATGTTATATATATTTATTTTTATATTTATAAATATATTTTATATAATATATTATCATAATCATGAGCTATTGAAAATACAAATCATTTTCCATTATTTTTTAAAATATGGGTATTTTGTCTGCATGCATACCTGTGTGCCTGTGGAGGCCAGAGGAGGCTGTTGAAACCCCCTGAAACTAAAGTTTCAGAGGGCTGTGAGTTGCCATGTGGGTACTGGGAATCGAACCCAGGTCCTCTGGAAGAGCATCTCTTCAGTCCTTATTTTCTAGTCTTTCTATTTGTTACTTTACTTTCAACAGCACCTACATCTTCAGAGCTCTGCTCAGCAGTGATTCATCTAGTAGCTAACATTTTTAATGGATTATTTTTTCTGAGCACATTTATTAACATTCAATGTTTGCCTGTATTTCCAAATACATCCCTTTGTGTAAGCTACACTTGATAATGACAGCAACATTTGTCATATACAACTCCCATAAATCTGCCTCATATTGAAAGATCAGTATTCTACTTTATACAAGGGGTCAAAAAGTTTATGGCAAAAAAATGTTTCTGCTTACTTATTTTTTCCTGTATAATTTGTAACTTCATTAAACTATAATTAAACATAATCTGAGAAATATTTAAGACAACTGTGGTCATTTTCACAATAGGACGGACAAAGTTATGTGAAAAAGGTATCTTTTCTTGGACATTTTGTATAAAGATTTTACTGGATTATCCTCAAATCAATATTCTAATACTCCTTCAAAACGTAGCACACGTAAGAATCAAATGGATTCCAAGAACTGTATGGCAACTAGAAAAATTCACAATCTCTTACCACGGCATCAGTCCCTAAAAGTAGAATTCATGGGTTTTGTGTGTGTCTTTTCATCTACTACAAAGTACACAAGTTGCTAATTTTAAATGCTCTACATTTTAAAAAAAAGTTTCTTATTTCCACATAGATAAGAAATGATAATGTCTCTTTAGCTATAAAAATCCTAACTTTCATCAGTATGTCTAACACTCAATAGTTGCCAAGAATTGCCCTTTATGGATCCCTATGTCCCCCTAGCAACAAGGCTACCTTCGCCTTCCATTTGTTGTTAAGGACATGTTAAAGAAACAAAGTTCTTCGGTTTATGTACTTCAGTACAGAAGCAGAGTTTAAAATAATCTTCTATCTAGTGTGGCTGTCACATCCGTAGAGTGGACCCTAATGAGAACTTAATTTGTACCTGAGCTAACTTTTCCTGAAATGTTACCTAGAGGGTACCTGCAAATGTAACCATGCACATAAAACGTTCAGTTCTAATCCACTAATAAAGTACCTTCAATCAGTTCTATCAATCACCAGCTAGTCAGAGGTTTAGAGTTATCTGTTGAGATCTGGTCTCGCCATGAAGCCTAGACTACCTTACCCTTCTGAGTGCTGGGATTACAGGTACATATCTCCACTCCTAGCCAGAAATCAGCTTTTACTGTAACTAACATAAGGAGGGAAATCTTTATTATAAAGATAATCATAAGATAACTAAGTCTCATATATCATTAATGTTTAACTCAATTTTTAAAACCTATCTTCGAATGAAGCTCATGCTCAACAGCAAATATTTACAGTCTTTACTGCGTATGAAGGCTGTAGGAGGTAAGCCAACCTCAACTACAGCATACTGAACTGCACACAGGACACAGATTAGAGTCCTAATGTCCTATTAACATCACCACACTTTAAAATATCTTTCAGGATATCGGATGGTATGGCGATCCTACACTAACACTGAGCTAAGCAGTTTTACCTGATGCATGAAGGTGTTACAGAGCTTGTACTATTTTCTGCTACAGTTAAATCTATAACTGACATTTATTATAAAATACTTCTGTAACGGGAGAAATTTATAAGCAGCACAAGCAAATGTGTATAGAAAGATCTTACTTTCAAGAAATGAAATAATATTGATTTTCTATGTCCTTTGGCTGTATTTAACTTAATTTTAAAAGACTCTGACTACAGATAAACAGAACTGTATACCTGAATGGTAATGTCAGCTATGTTTCTAGAATAAAAACACAAAACCTTATACTTTCCATGAAAAAGGAACTGAATTATATTACGCATTATCTTTTGAATGGGCTTTGGACTGCAGACTGAAATCCAATATCCAGACTATCCCTCACTAGAATTCAGATGTGCACAGTTCATCAAACTTCCAAGAAAATGTCCTAGGCTATGTCTGTGCAACATGCTACATTATGTTATGGGGTAGGAGAAAATGGTGTTCCATGTCTGTCTCAGAAGGTAAGGAACCATGCGTGGACAGATACACATTCATACACACAGATATCCACAGCTGAAAAAATTGATACTAAATATTGTGGTCTCCACTGTGACTGCCGCCAAGGATAGACACATGTTTAACAACGCTTGCCTCAGTGGCAAAAACACTGCTTTCAAGGTGCTGAAGTCTCATAACCAGGTCCCAAGTCAGACATTGACAAGAGATTCAAGAGTTCCACTTTCAGGACACAAACAAACTCCTTCTTCCAAATTTAGCTCTGGTTAAACCACTGCTGTTACAATCTAGTGTTCTAGAACATGGTTTATCCTCTAAGTGCCAGCTCTCAAGTTCTAGCCCCAGAGCAGCCATTCTACTACACCTCTCTTCTGAACTTGCCAATGCAGCAGATACTTGCAATAATAAATGACTGTCTGCCACCTTGGTCAGCAAAGTATTTTTCTATAAAGAGAGCTGGGCAGAAGTGGACAAACTTCTAAGGCTGATCTTTCTTTTTGCGTAAGAAAACTCAAAGAAACAGTCGCTTGTATTTTAACCTCTTTTCTTCAAGGCCTCTTCGTTCAACTCCTGGTCATTCCTCCCTCTATGAAGCAGATGCACTGATCAGGAGGGGCTAAGGGCAAAGAGGCTCAATTCACACACAAAGTTCCACTTTCTGATCCTTTCACCCTTCAAAAAGGAAAGCTTGAGGAACGGAATGGCTTCAAGCTGAGCTCTTGTCTGCTCACTGTGACAAAGGTAAAGCTTTTCTGGAGAGACAGAGCTGTAAGAAATAACCTCTAAAAATACCATTGTGGGGAATAAGGGCAGAGAATAAAAAGAAATCCCAAGTTTTCCTTTAACACCCCTCTTTTAGTTCACAGAGCAGCAATAACATAAAAAGGCGCTCTCAGTGATGGTTTATAAATAGCTCGGGCTGGCGCAAAATAGCTTTGCCTCGGCTTCTCCACAGCTGAGCCAATAAACTACCATGATGAAATGTTCACAGCAGAGAGAGTCCATTTAGACAAAAAAAGGCTACATTTCTGCACCAAATCCAATATAAAAAAATATTTATGCTACATATACACAGCTGTACTTATGGAGGACACATTTTCTGCAGAAGACCTACTGTGCGGAGACATTAAAGAATAATTATTTTTTCATGCGGTGTCAGAGTTCTCAGACCAGTATTTTAGTATTCTGGAAATTACTCCATTAGACAGGCTTTGTTCTAAGTAATTCTATACAAAGAATTTTAAATAAAATCAATTAGTGCATTTGAGAGCCTCTGGGGTTTAAATACCTCCTCTAGATAGAATGGGAGGGTCACAAGATCAATCATCATCTTTATGGCTCAAATGCCTAGGAAGGATCGATCACTCCCTCAGTGCTGTATCAGTAACTGCAAACATGAGAAGACAGTGGTTAAGACAGCATACACAGGGGCCTGAGCAGCACCCAGACTCAGTCTTCACCAGCAGTTCTAGGATTGAAAGTGGCCAGTCAATCCCTCAGCAAGCTCATCTTCCCAGATCACAATTTCATATGCAAAATGGAAACAATTTCTAGAAATGAACTTGATGAATACTACATTAAAGAATGGATACAATGAACCTAGCAGAGGACCAGTGACATGGCTGAGCCGGCTGTGCAAGCTTGACAACCCGAGATCAGTCCCTGGTCCTCACAGCGGAAGGTGAGAGCTGTTACGAATGAAGCATCTGTTAGTTTCTTTTAAAAGACTGGCTCTCACTATGTTGACCAAAAATTCCTGGGCTCCAGGGATCTTTCTTCCTAGCCTCCTCCGTAGCTGGAACCACAAAGCTCATCACTTTTTTTCTCACAGCCAGCATAAGTCCAGCATTTCAGCAATGATGGAGGGATTTATTACTTTAGAATAAGGAGGTCGCTGACTCCTACTGGTTCTTCCACCGAGGACTAGTCCTTCACACAATAACAAGCCTTCAGGCTTCCAAATACTCAAAAAAAAACTTTGCCATTACATTCAAGAGCCTCTATGCCAGAAGTGGTGACAGATGCCTGTAGGCCCACTACTCAGGAAGCAGAGGCTGGAGGACTGCCCACTGTATGAGGCCTGCTTTGTCTACAGAAGCAAGCTCCAGGCCAGTCAGAGCCTCACAACAAGACCCTGTTCTAAAAGAAAAAGCAGAGCACGTAAGAGGCAAGGTGACTCCTCCTACTCCCGATGACCTGAGTCCAATCACTGTACCCACAGACTAACCCTGACCCCACACGTGCCATGGCACATGCACATGAACACATAAATAAATGCAAAAGAAATTATTTAATAAAAATTAGTAACAAAAAAAGGAGAGCCCCTCCACCTTTAGGTGATAAATGAACAAATAATTCCCAATACAGATGTTTCTAAATAACAAATACTAATAGTAAAATAATACATCTGAACTATTTCTCAGCATATCTGGACAGACGGGATGATTAGCTTCTACAGGACAAATAAGAGATGAAAAAAAAACCCAACAGTGGCTCCTATCCTGCCACCTGTCAGCAGGTGAGTTCCTTCTCTGGAATTTGTTTTCCCAATCCGGAAAATGACCAGACTCTACCAGGTGACATCTAAACTCCTAAAACCTTGAACAATTTAAATTATGCTGTGTGTCTATGTTCTAAAGTAGGTACTTTAGAAATCTGGTAGCGCAGATATACAGGCTAGAACACAGGCATTCAACAAGGAGCAGGCCTCACCTTCCTTTCCTTTAACAGTTTCTTGTAGCCATTGCAGCCGAGTGACAACAAGGTGATAAGGACGTCTAAGGATGGCGAAGCTGAAGCTCTTCCTGAAAACAGAGGGACAGAGCATATGCAGGAGGACTGATGGGGGAGGCTCGAGAAAGCAACTTATCACAGCAGACTATATGCACATACATTTTTGTTCATTAGTTAATTTTTCCAAAAAACAAGTTATCTATTTACCTGGATACATCTTGCTAATTTCCTGAATGAAGGATTCATTAAAGCCAGCAATTATAGCACCACCTACTGGAACCATAAAATTTTTGTCCAAGCTCTGAACGAAAGCATCGATTCTACCAACCCGAGCCCCCTAGAATCAAACAACATATGGGTCACATGTCAGTCGCTAGGACAAACAACAACTTCTATGAACGAGCAAAGGTCACAACAAAAATGTCGTACAAAATGATACATACAATTTAATTTCATTCCCACATTTACAAAGGCTAATTTTACCTTAATTAAAAAGTAAAAATGAGTACCCCTGAAATAGTGCACAGACATCTGTTTAAAAGCAAGTGAAGGGATGTGATTTTCTCTGTGGCAGTACAAGTCCAGGGTTTACAGAACTGAACTCCAGCCTTGGGTGGTGCTCATTATATACACAACACCCAGCACACTGCCGTGTACATTGGCATTCACAGATTAATCACAACTCAACCTGCATAAAGCAGGTGGGGTGTCATTACCAGTGCAAGAGGGAATTCCTCTGAAACAGCTTTTTACCTTAAAACTGAGTACGAGACAAAGCATTTCTCCCATGTCCCACACCTATGACTTTTATTTGACAATAAGGTCTGTGGCGATTAAGTAGTTTTAAATACCTAGCATCACAATCTAATAAACTACAGCTGCCCAAAGTGCCAACCAAGCAGCTAGAACATTAAGTGCCTCTCTCTGATACTTGGGAAAATCTACTAACATTTTTATCTTTTGGGTTTGTCTGTGTTACAGTGCTGGAGATTAACCCCAGGGGCTATTTACAGGCCAGGCATAAAGCTCCAAGTCCAGCCTTAAACAGCTCTATTTTCATGATGGCTCTGATCACAAAAGAGAAAAGCCAAATTTTATGTTCATCATCAACCAATGGCAATTTCATCTGTATATTCCTGGAAGTTCCAAAATCAATGTTTCTCCATAACATGTGAACTTAGATGGTGTCATTACAATGCAAATGAACTTCAAATGGAAGTCTAACATCCCAGCACAGAGCTGAACACAGACCTACTAGAAATGTGGAACCAAGTTCTGCTTCCCATCTGACACAGCTATGACCTTCTGTTTAATGTGCTGCAATTTTCTTCTCTTAAAAACGGAGATACCATCTAAATTTCAACTCACATAGTTTTTTTTCTTTATCTGCAGTCACAGATTTTCAATCTGTATTCACAATCTACATTCCTATTAATATTATAACCACATTTGACCTTCATTTTCACACTTCTTCCCCACTTCTGTATCTCAGGGAGAATGGAAATCGCAGATAGCTGGCCTAATCTGAGAGACCAGATGTAGGCAACAGGTAGAGGCAGTAGAAGCCATGGAGGGGAGCAGATAGTCAGAGACCATCACTTGACTGTTTCAGCCTTACTCTTGCCATGATTCTTATTTCCTAACAGACTATGAACAGAAGAAACCCATCTCAGGAAGGGGGGGACAACATAAACATCAACAGTAAGTGAAGAGAAAGCACACCAAGTGGTGCCAGGTTGAAAGGGTCCAGAAATACTGTCTAGGCTTTCTGAGAGGAGCATGAACCTGACCTGGGAGTGGGGGACTGAGAAGGGGAAGCTGACTCCAGATTGCTACACTCACCCTTTCACCACCAAGACTGCACACTCCTTCACAAAAAAACACTAGATCTCAGAAATGTTCAAGGGTCATACCCCCACACTAACAATAGGCTGACACTAAGGAAGAAAATGAAAAACCTAGCAGGATGGAGGCTGCTGGGAAATAGGCTGCAACACTGTGTCCCCAGTACATATTGTGGTAGCTCATATACTAATGGGAAGTCAGAAAATCTACTGAATGAAATAACAATCAGGCGTGTGGGTAAGTAGCAGTAACACCTACTTTTCTTAACAAGTGAAGTCGCTGCTTCCCACACTTTGGAACTTCACCTTCTATTCTAAACAGCCAATCCCACACACATTTCTATAGCTCTACTATGTGCCCTCTATTAATCTGTCCTAACATCTCAGATTAGGCATTTCAGTAAACAGAACCAGAAGTGTACTTCTTAGATTCCACATACACAACAGAGTAGCTTATCTGTTCAGAACCAAGTCATTCTGGGACATCTTTTAAAAGTGCTAAGACATTTCAGGTATCACAGTTGTCTTCACTAATTACACGGTTACTGTGATACTGCTTTCTTGAGACTCTGTTCTGTTTTAGGGAAACTGGGGGCCCTGATGGCAGACTGCTACACAACTTCCTCAGCAGCTGTGAGACTCAGGTCAAACAGTTAAACCACTGAGCATATTTCCTCATATATAAACAGGAACAGTGAAAATACACCTTAACTTAATAGGATTAGTTTTAAAACATTAACAGCCTGACAGGACGCCTAACACACATGGTAGGTCTTTGGTAAGCTGTCTGCATTATGACAGTTATGAGTGAAAGTTAACTCTATTTAGAATGTCACGAAATAGCAGTCAGAACTCAACAAGACTTACATATTTATGTTGTTTAAACCAACAGTGCCATGACCTCTCCTCATGTAGGCCAATCTGCAGAAATGTTTATTTACTACTTAAAGACAAGTCCATTTTAGAAGGTAATACACCTACAGGACAGCACCTGTGAAACATCACACACGTACATGCACACGACAAAGTGGAGTGCCAGGAAGAGCAGCCCCAAGGACACCTTTCACATCGGCTCCACAACTGTTTCCCTTAGTTTGGCTCTCCATTAGTATACCACTATCACTCCACTTTCAAGTGTTCAAAAGTATGCTGTGAGCCCCAGAACTGAGTAATTCTCAATCAGGGAATAACGTCTGAGTGAACGACTCATCTCAGGCTGCAGAGATAGCTCAGCAGCTAGAGCAACTGCTGCTCTACTGTGAAGATCAGAACTCCGACCCCAGCACCCACCTATGCAGCTCACGAACACCTTAAACTCCAGTTTCAAGGGATATAACACCTCTCCTGGCCTCCTCAGGCCATCTCTCTCCCACATATAAATACATAAATCACAATAAATCTTTAAAATGATGTGTGTGAAAACAAATATAGTCATGTGGAAAGTATAAACATAGAACTAACAAGGTTTAAAGTCTTTTGTTAAATATACATAGTATCTAAAACTGTGTGAAAACAGTACATTCACGGAAACAGAAAAATGTTCATTATAAATGACTAGTGTTACTTATAAGATAGCTATGATTAGAAATAAAGATAGCTATGATCACATGCTCCTTCCTTTTATAAACTTTGAGAGATGCTAATGCATTTAAACTTTGAAAGCGTTAAAGATACAAAAGGGGGAGAAGCAGTGAGATGACTGCGGTTAAAGGTACTCACCACCAACCCTGACAGCCGTGGTTCTAGCCCTGGAATCAATGGCTGAGGAAAGAAATGACTCCTACAAGCTGTCCTCTGACCTCCTTATGCGTGTTATGACGCACACGTGTGAGCATGAGCACACACACAAATAAATGGAGTGATTTTCTTAAGTACTAGGAACTAGAAGAGGAAAGGAGGGGCAATTCAATAAAAGTGAGTCACCCATGTAAAGTGTCCTCACGTGTTCCAGCACAGAGCACTGTATCCCTTTCTTCTGCTCCATTCGCACCAAACACCATCCACCTAGGCCTGTGAGGCCGCCTTGAAAAGTTAAGGAACGATGAAAAGACACCAAAGAAAAGGTAAGTGTGAATAAGTAAACGTCATAGAGCAGCAGCTACTAAGAGAGTCTTTAGATCCTGGAAAACATTTAAATGTTTTGTATTTTTTTTTAAGATTTGAAAATATGTTTATGTGTTTACATGGTTCACTCTTACTCTTCCTGTTTTCTTTTTCTTCTATATAAAATATAATCATCAATAATGTAATTCAATACATTAGAAAAATGAGCACCCAGGGTTTAAAAAAAAAAATCCCAGAAAGTTAAGAATGATACTGAAATTTTTCTGTGTTGATTCAGGACCATCAAAGCTATTTTCAAGGGCAGGAGAAATGGTTCATCCAGGAAGAACACTTGTGCAACCATGAGGATCAGAGTTGGGATCCCAGAACCCATGTAACGAGTCAGGCGTTTCACCCACACCTAAAACTCTAGCTCCAAAAAGGGTGAAGACAGGAGGACCACTGGGGCTTGCTGACTTCCGGCCTGCTTGAGAAAATTCAATGTACAGGTTCAGAGCGACTCCACCTTGATGAAATAGGAGAACAATAGAAGGATACTCAACACCCTCTTCTGGCCCCCAACTGCACGAACAAGCACACACACACACACACACAGACACATAGGTATGCATACACTTACACATACAGACACGTGTGTACACACAAAACAGATGCATAAACAAATCGTTAAAAGTTACTATTCAATTACCATTAGACTACCAAGGAATAATGACTTTTACACCAAGAGAGTACAAGTTTCTAATGCTCCCCAAAGTAGAGAGAGTTAAGTAACTTTCACTGTATTAGACTGTAGGAAAAAAAGTCATAATCCTATAGTATATAATATTAATATAATAAATCACCTGCTGAATGAGATGCATGCACTTGGAAGACTGTAATCCATAAGCGTTGTTGACTACATGCGGAATGCCATAATTAGCACAAATCACAGCCAGGTCTTCTAATCTATAAACATAAACATTTACAGAAAGACATACTCATACTGTGCTTTATAATAATTATGGAAAGTTTTTATCAACAGTGTTAAAGTATATTAAGGAAAGAGAGAAGGGAATGACAAACTGAATTCCCTCTGTAGTATCTTTGCATGTAATTCATCAGGCTGGAAATACACAGCAAGCACTTTAGAAAACCTTAGAAAGTCTTTCAATGTTACTAATAAATGAGGGAAAAACATATTGAGAAAAGCTTATGACTTGATATGTGGAGGCACTGTGAGTGTGACGTCAGCCTGGTCTACACAGCGAGTTCCAGGCCAGCCAGGCTACATAGTGAGACCCTGGCTCAAAGAAAAACAAAACAAAAGTTTACGATGGTAACTTTTCAATAATTTCCAAACTTCTTACAAAGCACAGAGATTAGATGATACCTCACAAAGGGCTGCAATTCCCCTTCTTACTGCTTTGACTACTCACTATACTGAAGCTAGTACTGAGAAAATAAATAAGCATATCTGGAAACCTTAAGAAATCTCACAAAATTTAAAAAAATACACTTTCAAGTAGACCTTAATTTTAAAAAGACAAAAGCGGGGGGCGGTGAGGGACCTACAACATTCCTGTATCAAAATTCACAGACATTGTCTAACAACTTGGATACATCCTTTAAAATACTGTTGGCTTAAAATCTACCCTTCTTTACTCTTTTATTTGACACCTCTCATTAAAAGACATTTAAAACTCTAATTTATGTTAAGTATGGTAATGAACCACAACACAGCAGAGGCTCCTTCTCAAAACCCAATACTACTTGTGACTAAAATCACCTATAAAACAACGTCAGTACACTGCAAAACTATAACTATATCCTGTGATGCAACAAAATTGATTTCTAAAAAGAGGTTTGGTTTCACAAATAGAATTTGGAAGCAAAGTATTTCTATGCTTCTTTCCAAAAGGAGGTATTTAAAACACATGGCACAGGGAAGCAGAAGCAAATGGATCTCTGTGAACTTGAGGCCAGCTGATTCTATACAGTACATTCCAGGCCAGTCAGAGATACACAGCAAGACCCTGTCTCAAGTAAGGAAATAAAGGAGTTGTATGTATAGCGTATCTTTTTTCCTAGATGTGAACAAGTATGTTTTAAACTATAAATGGGAATAAGATCCTGTTCATTATCAGAAACTTTCAATTTGCTTCCTTTAAGTATTATGAACTGTTGTTTGGATGATAATGGCCCCACAGATTCATAAATTTGATTGCTTAGTCATTAGGGAGTAGCATTACTTGAGAAGGAGTAGGACGTGTAGCCTTGCTGGAGATGTGTCACTGGGGATGGGCTCTGAGGTTTCAGAAGCACAAGCCAGGCCAGTGTCTTTTTTTGCTGCCTGCAAATTTGGATATAGAATTCAGTTACTGCTACAGCACCAGATCTAGACCTGCATGTCACCGTGCTCCCTGCCATGATGATAATGGACTAAACCTCTGAAACTGTAAGAAAGACCCCAATTAAATGTTTTCCTTTATAAGAGTTGCTGTGGTCACAGTGTCTCTTCACAGCAATAGAGCACCGACTAAGACATGAATTAAACAATCTTTAAGGCTGGAGGCATGGATCGATCAGTCAGTAAAGTGCTTGCCTTGCAAGCATGAGGACCTGAGTTCAATTCCCCAGAACCCATGTTAAGAAGTCAGGCAAGGCAGTGTGTGCCTATAATCCCAGCACCAGGCAGGAAGAGACAGGATGATTACTGGGGCTCGAGTGCTAGCCACTGGAACTGAAACAGGGAGCTGTAGGTCCAGTGAGAGACCCTATCTCAAAGAATGAAGTGCAGAGTAATAGAGTAAGAAGCCTAAAATCAACCATTGGGGCACACACACAAGCAAGCACACACACACACACACACACACACACACACACACACACACACCTGTCTCACAATCAATACCAAAATTTCTTCTGTTACTAACAAAATAGAATTGGAACATACATACATATATTCTTCAGAAGATTAAAGGCATGTTTTTCGTGTGTGCTGTAGTGAAAGGATTCCCTGATAACTTCCTTGAAAATAAGGTACCATAATATTAACATTATCTAAAAAACAACAAACCTGTAAGTAGCTTTTAAATGATCTAAATTAATCAGATGTGTTAATAGGACATAAAAGAGGTATTAAATGAAAGGCAAAGAAAAGGAGGAAACAGATTTTCCACGTGAATTCCACTGTATTCTAAACCAGAATCTAATTTTAATAGCTATCCAAAGTGACATTCTTTTAATATTCCTTTTACATGGATTTCCTATAATACTTCTCAATAATTGATCAATAAAAACAAAATAAATGCTATACCACTAAAATTAAGACTATAAAATCAGAAGATCAAATACACTAACTTTATACTGCCATTTTCATAACCTCACTCATCAAAAGCAATCATTACGTCATACAACAAAAAGTAACAAGTGACAACTTGCCAACTACTAAATTCTCTGGAATCTTTTCTATCAGGTATATGTGTAAAACAATGCAACATCACACACTGAAAATATGGCTCAAAACGAAGCAACACTCCACAGAGAAAAATAATTCAACTAATACAAACATCCACATGCTTGCTGCTTAGAAATTTAAAATGGCTAGTCATTAATAAACTACTACAGAATATGCAATATAATTTTAAAACAGAATTCATAGGCTCATGAATGACCCAAGGCAAATTTTCAAGAGTATGGCTTCAATATGATCTTTCAAAATTTGCCTGTAAAATAATAAAAAGTTAACATGTAGCTATCACTGCCAAACCACGAGTCCACAAACACAAAAGCTTAGCAACCAGAGTCCAAAGTCAACACAATTCTTATTAATTATTAGCACTTCTGTTAAAAATGTTGAAATGAGAACAAACCAGAGCTTCAGCCAAAACAGAAATTCTTGTCAATAAACTTAAGCCCTATGACATTTTCAAAAAAAAAAAAAATCTCTGGCTATACTTTAGAAAAATGAACATCTGCCACCCGCAGGGTTTTAATTTTCTAATTTATATTATCATCAACCACTTTACATATCTAGCTTAATCTCCCAATCAAAGAAATGTAAATAATCCTAAAATACTTTATTTATAATCTGTTAGTAAATGAATTACAAAGCCAAAGAAATAGTGATAGGGAAAACTACTAAGCCAGCAATTCACTTGAAAAGGCTAAAGCAGTGAGGACAACAGTGAGAGACTTAAAGCGGCAAGAACAAGAAAGCAGACAAGTGAGGTGTACTAAGACTTGGATAAGGGGATCTCCACCTCCACATCAGCTGTCTTTCCTTCAGCATCAAACTTCTCCAAACCACTAAAAAAAGTATCCCTAGGATTAATTTATTCTCTTAGACCAGTATATTCACTACTTACTACCAAGTGTTATATTGTCATGCTTGGGAATTAGTGAACAACATCTAAAGACCAATATTCATGAGTCAGTTACCTATCAGGCACCCTTGGAGCAAAACAGGATGTAGTAGAATGAATGCACAGAATATGATCAGGCCCGAGTTCCCGGACTTTAGCCTCCACAGCATTCAGGTCAGTACGCAGCTCATCGCCTTCTAAAACATTTTCAATCACCACTGGTTCAAAACCTAACCAAGTCAACCAGAAATCTAAACATTAGTGTCAATTAAATGCAAGATGATTCTAGAACTCTAAGAAGCAATGCAATTGTACAAAAAAACTCTAAATATTTATTTCACTGACAAGCTTTTTTTCTAGTAATAAAGATGGCGGCTCAGTATAATAGCTTGAATATAATTGGCCCCCATAAGCTCCTAAGTAGTGGCACGATTAGGAGGTGTGGCTTTATGGGAGTAGGTACGGCCTTGTTGGAGGAAGTGTGTCACTGTGGGGGTGGGCTTTGAGGTCTCATTATGCTCAAGCCTTGCACAGTATCTCAGACCACTTCCTGTTACTTGGGCGTCCATGTAGGACTCTCAGCTACTTTTCAGCACCATGCCTGTCTGCATGCCACCGTGTTGCAGCATGAGGATAATGGACTAAACCTCTGGAATGTAAGCCACCTCAATTAAATGTTTTCATTTTTAAAAGTCTCTGTGGTCATGGTGTCTCTTCACAGCAGAAGAAACTCTAACTAAGACAGTCAGAAAAGGGCGTGAAGAACAACCAGCAGCTAGACTGGATCTTTAGCACTTTGAAATGACAAGGAATGGATTTGATAAAATAAGGAAAACACATGTTAACCATAGGTCTACAGAAATTAATTACTCAGGTGTTGATAACCAAAAAGACAACTAGTCCAGTTCAAGTTCTGTAAAAATAAAATAAAATAAAAATGAAGCCTACTCCTTCTCTGGGAACATTTCAATTTCACTTGAGTTTACGTTTTTCAGAGCTAGACATAAATGATAATAAAATATTCAGGTGCTAAAATAAATCACACCCATAAACTTTGTGTTTTACTGCTAAAGAAAACTATAAATTTCAGTCACCTGGAGATCACTGACCCATCTCATGGCCCAAGAGTCCTTCAGAATTTTAACTGAAATATTGCACTTAACTAGCATATAATTAAAGATCACCCCACAAATAATTATGCAAACTTTAGTGGTAAATGTAAGTATATATAAGCTTACAAATTGTTAAAAACAAAATACGTGCTAAATTTTATGACTACTAAAATTTCTTTAAAACATGAATATGGAGCGCATTTAATTTTTCATTTACCTATCTCTATATAAAAATCTGAGTTTCCCACTGGATGTTTAAAACATTACATACGCTGCATGTCTTTTACCTGCAGTGACCATGGACTTAAAGCAGGACTTCTGGTCTATCCGCGGCCATATGATATACTTGGCCTTAGGTCTTTTGTGTCGCAATGTTAAGAAACACAAGGTTAGACTCATACCAGTTGCCATAGGAACTACAAAGCAATTGGTCACGGAATGAACACCTACAAACAAGAAATAAAGCAACTTATTATCTCACAAACAAAACAAAACAATGAAAAGCCAACATCCTTCTGGAAGAAATGATAAATTTCGTTCATAAAATAACATGGGCTGTAACCCTGATGTTTCTCTTTCATATTTGCTCTCATGAAAGTCATGGTTAAAAGCCATTTCTGGGGTTGTTTTCTGTCTTGACTGAAACAGGTTTACATGTGTGCACTTTTAAAAATGCAAATTCACGTTGCTTTTGAAGAGATATACATACAAGAAACTAGTGTGCTGTCTACTCACAAGTCACGTTATGAATGACATGCTACGCACCGGCCAGCTTGATGACGCTAAGCACCAAAGAATTGGTAATTTTGTTCAAGAGGCTAGAGCCTGCAGCTTTTGGTTGCACAGCAGAAATATCACCAGACCGCCCAATTCCATGGATGAACCTAAGCAAAAAATGGACCAAAAGCTATACAATTACATTCAGTGTTCAAGTAATTAATACACATTATTAATTATTGTAATTATTTACATACATACATAATAATTATTGTAATTATTTACAACTAAATAACCAAAAACTAGCAGAGGCAGTCTTCCACTATTGCACGCACACTTCATAAATGACTAATGTGGAGTAATCCCCAAGGACCACCATATCAATTCTGTTCTCCTGCTGGTCCACACCAAGAGATAGTCTAATTCTCTCACCTATCTAAATCCATATGTGGGGGTGTCCAGACTAACTTGGTTGACTCAGGAGTTACTGTCTGGAGCCTCTAAGTTCTAGAAGGTCATAAGAAGCACTGAAGTCTTCATCAGACTTCTTGAGGAGTTTGCTAGTGTGTACTGCCTCTCAAAATCCTCATGGGAACAGAGAAGCTGAGCCCTCAGCCACGTAACCAAGTCGTCTTTAGCAGCTGCACTCTTAGCTGACACCTGACAACCACAGAGAACTGAAGAGAGAGCAATCATTTTAAGCCGTTAACCTTTGCAGGACTCTGTTGAAAACCATGGCATAGGGGCCAGAATATTGCAATGTTTCCCAGGCTAGAGGTAAACGTCTGATCCTCCAGTCTCAGCTTTCTAAGTAGCTGGGATTTAAGTATATACTGACACATCTGGCAAGAGCAAGCACTCTATTTCTGCACATCTAAACAACAGCCATCTATTTCTGCACACGCTACCAGCACAACTCTTCATCCCTCTGTACTGTTCTACACAGAGGTCCTTCCACACCATAATTAGTTCCTGTCCTTCTCAGATGACCTCCTCCTGTAACTACTAAGAAAATCTCTTCAATGCTAAGATGGATCCATTTACTATGCAAGTTACACAGTAAGTGGAAGTTTAAAAAGCCTGTGTGTCTGCATGTGTGTGTCCCCAGGTCAAACTAGAGGTCCTGTGTGTGCTAGGTAAGTCCTATTCCCTCTTCCCTTCCTTCACCACAGCAGGACAGATTCCGACCTGGATGAGATGCTTCAGAAACTGCCCTGATTTGCTGCTGGTGGTGACAGCAGTCTTTTGAGACAGGATCCCACTAGGTAGCACTGGCTACCCTATATTTTAGACCCTCCCCATTTCTGTTAAGTGCTGGGATTACAGGCAACACCACCACCATTGGCAAAAACTGTTTTAATTTTTTTTAATTATGTTTCTTGAAGATGAGTGTCCAAATCTACTTGTCTTAGATGGCCCTATACACTTACAGATGCCTTTGAATGTTCTTTAAAATAAAGAAATAATCCTTCTGTAAACTCAATCCCTTACAGCCAATTAGATCAGAAACTGTGTAAAAGGAGATTATCACAGAACACTAGTGCTGCACCTCCCTATGAGCACACTTTGTATGTGAGTCTTCTACATATATTACATATGAACCATGTTACCAGGGCAGTGAGACAGGAAACGTACATCCATACTCATTATCATAGTTCACGTTAAAATCAAATTTTAGTATGCCTCAAAAACTGCACTTGATTTAAAAATCAAAAAAAAAAGGTTTTTAAGAGTTCATATTTCTCGCAGAAAGGGCAGAAGATAGAAATAAGCAATCATATCCAAAAGCACTATCAATTAATAATTAAAGCATTTTTTCCAGGAGGTGGTGGCTCATGCCTTAAATTTTGGCACTCAGCATGAAGAGGTAGGTCTGAAAGGAAAATTAAACCACTTTTCACAATGGGTTAAAAAAAAAACTTTCAAAACTAATGCAAATAATGTAATCATCTAATACACCCATTCCTCCATCATTGCAACAAAACAAGTACTTATAAAATGGGATTCAGATACTGATAAAATATGCTCTCAAGTTCATTACTCTCCAATAAAACCTGCAAGTTAAAAAGGAAATATGACTGGGTGTGGTGGCACATGTCTTCAATCCTGCTATTCAGGAGGTAGCGGCAGGTAGAGATCTATAAATCCAAGGCCAGTCTGATCTACAAAGTGACACAGTGAGACACTGTCTTAAAAACTCAAAAGAAAGACAACTATGATTTATGTCAACTGAAATTTTTTTAAAAAAAAATCTCACCCACATTAAACATTATCTATGATTTTATGTCTGAACTTCTATAATTGAGGTAAGCTGGCAAGGTGCAGGTTCAGAACCAAAATGTCTTCCCTGTGTGTGGGCTGTCACCTCCATGACTGTTAGGTAAATCCTTCTGGAATGTACAGAGACCCTGGAGTGGATTTCACCTACTCAGAAGCTATCGGATACTTACACTAGGATTGCCTTGCTTTGCTGTAACTGGCCGACCTCCATATTTCTACTAGTGTATTTTAAAAGTCTTGGTCTATGATTTAGTATTTTCTTTGTTCTGTGACTATTTCATTATAAAAAGCTCATGAAACTGTTACACCACAACACGGTATTTGGTGTCACCTGTCACTAGTATCTCGAGAGGAACTCGGTATTTTTTGCATTGACAATATTAAGCTTTTAGAACCAAAATTTCCCACTTTAAATATTCATCAAAAACACAGCACTGCTGACCATGAAGTGTCTGAAAGGGAAACCATTGCATATTAGAACTTCTAGTTTCACTTGGTTCCCATGTCCATTTGAAGAGGGGAGAAGCTTCAAAATTTATTATGAATACCATAACCATTCTTAAGTTCCTCACACTCCACCTGGGGGAGGGGCCCAAAGGCTCTCACAACTGGTGTAAGAAACATACCTGTAATGACGACGAGCAACCAAAGCAGAGGCCACTCTCCCTTCCCTTTCTCCCACCCCACAATTACCCAAGAAATTGTTGCTATCCATGACTGCAAGCTCATGAAGAAAGAGCTCAAGTGTGCTTTCATCCCAGCCATCCTCTGGACACTTGCCCTGAGAGAGAGAGAGACAGAAAAAGAAAAAAAAAAGTAAAGATATTTATATTTAGGAAAATTACTGTTCCCTAAAACCCTACACCAATGAACTGGAAATTTTTTTAATGTGTTTTGTGTTATGCCCCTTGACTCCTCAAATCCGAAATAGGCTCAGCAACTATGAAGAAACTGCCAACTTGACCGAACGTTCGTAGCCTATTTGACAACAAGCTAGAGACTGAGAATAGAAGGAATCCAGACACTTAGGTTTGCTAGGATTCTTAAATCCCAGGTCAGTTAGGTAGCGGTCAAGGTGATGCCCTCAGTGAGGAGTTTTCAAACTAGAAGCTGTCAAACTAGAGATTGAGAATAGAAGGAATACAGACACTTAGGTTTGCTAGGATTCTTAAATCCCAGGTCAGTTAGGGGACGGCCAAGATGATGCCCTCGATGAGGAGTTTTCAAACTTCGGGGGCACTGAAGTTCAGCACTGCGACCAGGAGCGAGGCCCGCCTGAGAGGTCGGGCGGAAAGCTGCCGGCTGGAGTGCGTTTACCAACAACATGCCAAGCCTTCCCGGCCTTGCCTTCCCCGACCGACCCAGGCTGGCGAAGACCGGGACTTTGGCAGTTCCGCGGACACGAACACCGAGGAGCGCGCCGCCCCGCCCCTCCCCTCCCCTCCCCGGAGACACAGAACCCGGGCGGGCACCGAGGCAGGGGAATACCTGCTCTAGAAGCAGCTGGATGAGGTGTTCGTGCGCTCGCCGAGCCTCGCGGCCCTGCCTCACGTATGCAGGCGAAACTCGCCGCTCGCCCGCCGCGAAGCTCTCGAGGTTCATGACGGCGCCCGCAAACTACACGCTGAGGCCCAGGATGCAACGCGTCGCCCGAACGGTACGGGACGGTCATGGACCCAAAATACCCCAGGCCGCCGGACTCGGCTTCCGCGCACGTGCAAATCCAGCTACTCGCGCACTTGGCCCTCCCGTCCCAAACACACACACACCTCGCACACTCCACACACCCCATCACCCTGGAAGTTGGAGACCTTGAGCATTCCTAAGGGAACTGGCAAGTTTAGCGGGTTTCAGGCCGGAGGAAAGGAGCTTTGACTTGGGCTAGGTAAACTCTCTCAGAGGCAGGAGCACTGCTAGGTCTTTGAGGGCAGAGAAAGCAGAAGTGTCATTGTGTGGGATCCTTAAGAAATGAAGATTTCTGATCTGCTCCAGTCATGTTGTTTCAGTCTTCTCCAGACTGTGTCAGATTCCAAAAACTTACATCCATGCCTTGATATGTTTCAACATTTACTGCTGCCTGACAACCTTATGAAATGATAGAGCCCTACCTACTCCTATGGCGAATTTATCTCGTGGTACGTTTTTTCTTTTCAAATTATGTGATAATCTGCAGTAATAGAATCCATCACCCTACTCTTGGAAGAAGAGACTTGGGAGTGTCTTCCCTGAGTTCTGAAGCTTTCTGTACTTCACTTAGATCTACAGAATTTCTTTGAGAACCTTGTGCTAACACTACTTACTCATAGTGTATCTTTAGAATGTAGTACTCTACACAATGGAAGAATTCACCAATGCCAGAACATACGTACTTGCTTGTCATCAAGAAAGCAAATATGGCCTATGAATTCCCCGTGACTCTGAGATGTTTGAGGTGAGAAGAGTTCCTCATCTCTGTTGAAACCCACAACCAAAATGGACAAGAAGTCCAGGGATTCTGCAATGCACTCCTGTTTCTTAGGTTGACAGCCAGACAAAAATAAAGGCCCATTTGAAAAGAAGGGATATGTGGAAAATAGCGAAAATGTTCTGAGAGGTCTCTGTGCCAAACCAGAATCTTTACCCATTAATAATCCTTGACCATAGAAAGGTCACAGCTCTTCTGCCATTCAAAGACTCCATTGTACAATACCAGTGTTTCATCCCTGGCCTTTGAAAAGAAAAATATAGGGGAAGTGTAGTTGGACCTTTTACTGAGTTAATCTATGGGCCTCCCAGGGCAGTTGCTTGGGGCTATCAGATATCTTCAAAGGACGTCACATGTCTCTATGAAGTCACTCATTGTAACATAGACAACTGGTCCCTCTCCCAAGTCAACATTAGTTGTGAAGCTGTACAAATATCACTGAGGTCAACTGAGGATCATGTGTAACCTGCCTACCACATAGTTTAGGAAAAATCTAAATAGTGGACTGAACTGTGACCTCACTAGCCTTTTCACCATTTTTAGATTGACTTTTAAAATATTTTCTAGGTATTGTATGTCTGCTTTCAGGGTAGTCTACCGTATTTCCTTGCCAAAAGCAACAACCTTGACAGTCACTGAAACTTATCTGATTTTGTTTTAATCTGGGTTAAAGGCAGGCAGGAAGGAAGGAAGGAAGGGAAAGAAAGAAAACTAAGCTAAGCAGTGATGCTAAGCAGTGATGGTGCACACTTTTAATCCCAGCACTCAGGAGGGCAGAGGCAGGCAGATCTCTGTGAGTTTGAGGCCAGCCCGGTCTACAGAGTGAGTTCCAGGACAGCCAGGGCTGCACACAGAGAAATCCTGTCTTGAAATTTAAAAAAAAAATCTCAGTAGTGACCAAGACACATACATCATGCAATTCTACTAAAAGGCATTATCCCTTTCTCAGTTACAATTCTGAAGACTGTATAATCTTTACCGAAAAGTTCACTGCCCTTGAAACTCTTTTGATGAGTGAATAACTTCCTCACATTTAAATTAGCAAAACTTTAAGACATCCTTAAGTTTTCTAGGCCAAAGGTAAACACAACTTCTATAAATCTACATGATTGTGTACTTCATTACTCTAAGGATATACAGGTGATTTCCTATGAATCATTGGCTGACAGTTTCATAATTAGAGATTTCACCTCTAGTAATAGAATCTGCCCTACCACACAGAGATATAATGAGCTTGCACAAGATTCATGTTCAATCCATAGCCCTATTGCCAGACCACTGTCCTAGTAGTATCCCACATCTTTCCAAGCAGCCCCTTCATCATGATCTTCAACAAAGAAAGCTCATGTCTTGGAGGAGATAGAAATATTGTTCCTGGGCCTCATTGGAATGAGTCTTATTAGGTACAGTCAACATCAAATACAAGAGTGAAATTTCAGTGAGTCAGTCTTTGCACTCTTTCACAATTAGAGAAGCAATACAGAGCAACTACTACAGATGTCAGTAGAAAGGTCTCTCAAGAAATTAAAAATAAAGGCTGGACCAAGGAGCTTATGTCTTTGATTCCCAGCCCTTGAAGACAGAGAGGCAGATCTCTGTGAGTTTGAAGCTATCCCAGTCTATGTAGTAAATTCCAGACCAGCTAGGCCTATGTGGTGAAACTCTGCCTCCAAAAGCAAAGAAAGCCTTAGAAGTAGTACCGTAGAGCTGCCACCCAGACACTTTCACATCCACGTCTATAGCTGCACCAGTCATAATATTTAGGAAATTAAAAACCAGATTATATGTCCATCTGGAAATAAATGGATAAATATATTTGGAGTATATATATACCTAGTGGAATTTTATCCAGGCATAAAGAAAAGCTAAATCATAACATTTTTGTGAAGATGGATAAAATTGAAAAACTATTGTTCGGGAAAAAAAGCCAAATTCAGAAAGATAAATATTGCATTTTCCTCATATTTGATCATAGATTTTAATACATATACATATATATGAAGGTGGTAGATACAGTGAAGGTGGTAGATACAGAACAAAGAAAGGGTTCATGAAAATGAGAAAAAGAAATCTTAAGGGGGAGGTGTAATGGGGAGACCACTCAAGAAGACCACTCAGATATAGTGTAGTCAATTAAAAGTTTTATTCTGACTGTCTGGGACTACACTCAGGTATGTGGGACCCAAGTGTAGCCCCAAGTATATAGAGTAAACAGCTTTAAAAGACAAAAACCAATTTGGGTTATTTTGCTAGACAGTTACAGTGGGAGGTTTTGTGCAAGCAAGCAGTTTAATAGAAGCTAAGACAAGAGGTTAGCTGGAGGGGGAGGTTTTACACAAGCAGGTAATTCAACAGAAGCCAAGAAAAATTAGCTGGGGCGTCTTGGCCTCAAGTACCTAAAATAGACTCAGATAATTTTCCATAGGATTTTCCATCAAGGAGATCAAATTCCAATCAAACCTGAAATGGCCTCCGCAAGAGCAGGAGATGAGTGAACTTCCACACTGTCTTGCCCTGTCACGGAGGTGGAGAGAGGCTGACAGAATTCGTGCACCATGAAGCAAGCAAGCTCTTGGGGGGAAGGAAAGGAACACTGAGAGGGAGGCAAGAGATGGAGGGAAGAAAGGGGTTCAAGAACAAAGCATGTATGGAAATACAAGAATGAAACTCTCTACTTTGTGTACTGACATCTTTGAAAAGCTCAAATAAGAAAGCAGATCAGAATTCTGTCAGAATGAAAAGTTAACCTGATAAGATACTCCAAACAGGATTTTAAAGAGATCTCTCAGAAACAACCCATCTTCTAAAGCTGTAGGCTACACAGGACCTTCACAACAAACCAATGACCTCAAAGTAGATGGTTCCCTTTCCAGGCATTAAACCAAGGTCACCGTCTACTTGTTTTAGCTATTAAATCTGCTCACATCCTTCTCATTTTAGATAGACCTTGACTTTGGCCTCTTTTCTTTTTATTCTTGCATCGGTATGGGCCAGGACATAGTTATTTGAATGCCATTCACTTCTCTCAGTCACAGTGAATACTACATGGACCATCTATCACTAGCTCCAATGATTAAAACACCTAAGCAATTTCAATGTTATGATAAAAGGCTGGAGGGAATCGTAACCACTGGTGTTCCCACTCGCAGCTATGAGAACAAGCGATCATAAGCAATTCGGCGCAATCACTTCGCTTGTGTCCATTCCCCCCTGAGAAGAAATGATGACCCTTATAATTTTGATCAGACCAAGAGTGATTCTGAATTTGAATTCAAAAGTCTTAATAGGATAATGTGTCAAATCTTTGCCACCTAGAAGTGACTAGTTGGGATTCACATATGTATCCCTGCTAATATAAAGCCTTGGTTCCAGTCTTGTATCAGGAGTAACCACTTCCCTCGTCCCTGTATCTCCTTGTGTCCTAATCTGAATCCACCTTCCATTTGGAAAGGTCACTGAAGGCTCTAGCACACCCAAGCATGGCAAACATGGCTCCGGTAGGCTTTGACCTCCCCTTCTCCCTCTTTCTTGCTGAACTGTTAGAACACATTCTAAAGCTAGCCACCAAGGTCTATTCATTTTTTTTAATGGAAACAGAGGAGTGGATGGGAATGGGGGTGGGGGAGGGTCTGGGAGGACTGGAGGGAGGGGAAACTGTTCTCTTCCCCATTGGCTTGGTGCTTGCCCAGCATATAGTGTAGCCCCACCCCAAACACCCCCTCCTCCTGGACTTGAGATTCCCTCCCCTCTCTCAGACATGTAGTAGGCTTAGTCACATAGGATATATTCTTTTAATATTTATTTTTATTTGTGTGAATATGTATTTGCCTGTGTAAATGCATGACATGTATTTATAGGTGCCCCCAGGGGTGACAGAAATTGGGAACCTAC